TAACGGCTCCCTCTTTCTAGAGAGAGAGAATAACCCTAGTTGACTGTTTAGCCAGGCTGAGATAAGAAAGGTCCAAGACACATCACACAGGGGAACAAACATAGCCTTAAAGAATGATATTCACACAAAGCGGGAAATCAGCTGAGACAGAATTCAACCCTCAAGTGTCTCTCTGGCAATCTGGTTTCTTGGTTATGGGATTGTTTTCTTGCAGACAAGAGGAATTCTGATAGGGCTATAAACTGTATGCAAATGTTATATGAACTACATCTATCAAGATTAATTTGGGTGCCTATGTGCAAAGAATACACTTTATCTTTAAAAACTGTTTTTCTTCATATTTTTTGACTCTTCCCTTGTTTGTATTTGTTGTTGTTCCTTGTCCCATTTTTACTAAAAAAAAAAAAATCTGACCAGTGGGCCTAAAGTATGGACTGAATGAATCATGGGATCCTAAACTGGCACTGAGGGCCAAGATTTAATCTGCTTTGTTTCAAGTGGGAAGTACAGGGAAGATCAAATAAGTTCAAATCCAGGTCAAATATTCTCCAAAAAAAAAAATCTTTGATTTATAGAAGAGGAAAATGAGGTTTAAAAGAAGTGATTATGAAAGGGTTACTAAAAACACAGCTGTATGTGCACTCTTATATCTAAGGCTCTCCACAGAAAAACTGTGTGACATCTATATTAACCTTTGGCTACACACCAGTGAAGGCCTGTAGTGTGCTGGAATGCAGAGCAGCCCCTTCCAAATTTTAACACAAGCCAGGTTACAGCTGCAGATGCCTGTAGACCATGCTCACTTTATAAAGTATTCCCTGAAGGAAATTTTTAAACTGTTACAGAATCTTTTTCTAATACCCTACAGTGGTAGGGCCTGTTATTAAAGGGCAAAAGGATAGTTCCTTATGCCAAACACTTGTCAACAAAAAGGATAGCCAGATGGTATAAAATAAAATAATAATAATAAAAAAAAACTTAGAGGCTCTTCAGGTTTCTTGATTTATATTAACAAAAGCCACTCTTATGTGTAGATTCCAAGGAGGACTAATTTTCAACTTTCTCCTTTCACTTCAAAGATGAAACTATTTACTTCCTTTATAATCTGCACCCGGGAATAAACACTAATCGCACATCCCTGACGCCTGGGGTTCTTCAGAAGAATTATGAAGTGGCCTGACTTTCCATATGAGAAGTGGGATGGATTTCCAATTGGATTCAGTTAAGAAACCATGCATTGCCCTGGGACTGTTTTCTAGTGAGTAGCCTGTTTTGAATTCCAAAATTAATCTACACAGAGAAGTCAGGGGCTTGTTAATCCAAACCAGTTTACAAATCTTGCTATTGAACTCAAATATCCAGGCCCATTAAAATCTGAATGTGAATTAACTGTCTAACATTACATTCTGCTTTATTGTAGAGGCTGCTCTTTGTTGGAAGGTTACTTCTGAAACTTTCATTCCCATCACTGCTGGCTTTCTGGTAAATTTGCCCCTTCCATTATATACCATATTCTGTCCCTCACAAGTACACAAGTTTCTTAATTCCAAGAGTAGCAGCTTATAGAAAAGGTTAAGATGCCACCAGCACGAAACAGGACAAGGATACACTCACTGCCCCCCCCCATACACACACACTACAGAGAGATGAGCATTTTCTTTAGGCTTATGATATTTGCATCTTTTCTGATTCTGAGAAGAAACAAAATCTTGCCTTTGAAATATAGTAATCTGTGGGAATTGTCCCTCTTAGCAAAGTGGGATAAGGTTTAATACATCTAACCATTCATTCATCTTTAAAGAAAAAACAAAAAACAAAAAAACTCCACCCCCACAATATCTCTTCTAATTTGCCCTTGAAGTACCAGAAAACTACACACACTGGAGCCAGGAGCGTTTGAATGTGTATTCTAGCTTGTAGCTGGTCTAATTCATTAGGACATCCACAAACAAGTCAGTCTTTGTCCTTTAAAGATGAAAGCAGCATGAGTATAACGGGTTGAAAGGTGTGCACACAGTGATGAGGAAAGCCACTGGGATCTCTGTCCTTTTTAAGCTTGTCCCGGCATGCACCCATGACAAGGGAACAAAACAGCACAGATAAACCTCTCAAAAGTGCCTTGTTAGCAATCATTCCACCTGTCTATGAGAGACGATTGGAGTTGGCCTGCCCAGTAACTAATGACTGACCACGCTGACAGTAATTCAATATAATGGAGCCTTCTCCAGGGAGGACACTTTCATGCTTTCAGAGTTGACTACAAAAGCCAGTCAGGGTTGAACAAATGTCTCCTTAATGGACCAAGTGAGGATTTTAATATAGAGCTTCGACTTCCCTGATTTACTTGGCTCACTCTTTGAAGAGACTTCCACACTGTACTCCTGTCTCCTTTTTCTACTCCCCCTCCCCACCCCATCCCACCAAAGGCACTAGTTACAGAGTATTATACATATGATGAAGGAGTATAGCCAGGCATTCATATTCCCAGAGAAAGTTTAGAGAAAAAAAATGTATGCTGGTAGTCTAATTTAAGAAGGTCAGTTGATTTGGAGGGGAGTTGGGGGAGGGGGGGAAGATGGGAGGAGGGGAAGAATGAGAATGAATTTTTCAAGACAAATTGTTCCCTGGGAACTAAGCTTTTAACAAAAGCTCACATAGAAAGTCCACACAGCTTACAAAATGTTTTCTCACAACCCTGTGAGTTAAATATTACTTTCCCATTTTATAGATGAGTAAACTGAGGCTAAGAGTGGTTAAATAACTCACCCAGGATAGCATAGTTAGTAAACGTCAGAGATGGGGATGTGAATCACAAGCTCTTTCCATTAAACCTGGCTGCCTCCCTAAAACCTCAGAACTCATCTGGAGTAGGATGCTCTGCCTCTACTTTTGGTTTAGTAAGGTTTGTATTGATTTAGTATTATTATTTCGATGTTTGAACATACACACAAATCTGTTAGTTTAAGTCGCCTGTTCCAGTTTTCTCTGTGCCATGGTAGTAGCTTACACATGTAAAATGAAAGTTACAGAAAACAGAAACTCTGATAATAATGTTATCTCAGAAACCAAATATTTGAACACCAGCTCTACACTTTGCATCTTAAATGTCTGGTTTGAGAGAACAGTCTGGCTGAATATGATGAAATGGGAGGGGGAGGGGAGAAAGAGCCACAGGTGGAGGAGCAGGAAAAAAAGAACCCAATGGGAAAGTACAGAGACAAGAGCCCTGAACTTGGGCATCAGGAGACTCTGGATTCACACTCCAGCTCTGATCCCACTGTGTGACCCTGGACAAGTAACTTTATATTTCCTACTTCATAGGATTCTGTGAACTGTGAGAGGAAGCGAGGAAAGCACGTTTGTAAACCTTACATTTAACTTTAATATTTCAAGTATTATGTTCATTTGAACTATAAGTATTATTATTTCTGCCAAAGATAAGAAGCTCAGAGCTATGAGTTTTGAGAGAAAGAGATTCTAAGTAGACTGCAGATCCCACCTTTCCAAGGTCCTCCCAGCAGGTGGCCTCCACCCCTGAGGCCAAAGAAAGAGGATGGACAACCATCTGCATAGCTTGCGCTCTCGGTCTTTCTGTCTCTCTCTGTCTCTGTCTCTCTCTCTTTCACACACACACACACACACACACACACACACACACACACACACACACACACACACACACACACGCCATGGCATCTCTCCAAGCCCCCAAACCTTCCTGCCATTGTGGACGCCTGGTGGAGTCTGAGCGTGGGGCCCATTCCCTAAACTACCCTCCAGATTCAGTTCCGAGATTTGGAGACACCCAATCTCTATGTTTGGTGGTTTGTGAGCCACACGTGATAAATGCTTAAAATGGATTCAGTAAGCCAGGGACCTATCATTATATATTTTAAATAGAATGCTTGCAATGGCAATGTTTTCACTCAAACTTGGCTGACTCAAGAAGGGGCATTGCTGTCAGAAAGCAAACAAAATCCATCTGTTGTAGAGAGCCCAGTTAAAGGGGTGCAAGGAAGCCAAACGAAAGGGCAGGTATAACTTTATAAGGTAGTAGAGAGAACTTCCCCGATAGAAGCTTGGCCAGGAAGGTATGTGAAATGGCCACAATTCGATCACGGAGGAGATGGGGGGGGGAGAGGGGGAGAGAGAAGAGGACAGAGAGGAGAGGGAGAGGGGGAGAGAGGAAAGGAGAGAGGGAGAGACAACGAGCGAGCCACTAGGAAAGCAGGTTAACAGAAGCTTAGCCCTTTAAATCTGGCTAAGGCAGCTTCCCCCAATCCACTGGGATCTGTCCATTTGCAGTTGCCTTAGCTGGGAGCATTCACATGACTCAAAGCCTGATGCTTTGAACTGTGCCGAATCTCACTTGCTCTTTGCCTCTCCCGGTTTTACATCTTCCCCAAGAGGTGCAGCAGCCAGGAAAGAGAGAAAGACTTCAGAAGACTTTCCCTGTACGTGTGTATACACACACACACACACACACACACACACACACACACACACACACACGCGCGCGCGCGCGCGCACACACACGCTGGGTTTCCCTACCTGGGAACGTTCCCAGTCCACGTTCGCCTTAGACCCGGCAAAGAAAAACATCCGCTTTCTGTTTTGGGGAGGAGGAATTCAGGTGGGAAGAAAGGTGTCTGGTAAGAGGGTGTGTGAGGAAGAGGGGGAGCTCAAGACAATTAAAGGGGTATGAGTCCTCCTTATAGCAAAGAGAAATTGAGCCATTTCAAAGCGGTCTCAGGAAAAAAAGTCTTCTTTCCTCCGATCTGATAGAATAAAATTATATGCCCTTTCTTATTGCCAATCCTTGCTATTTCCATCAAAAACCCAAATCCCCTTTTCAGTTCACCCTCTCGATTCCACAAAGAACTGGGGATCTCCTTTGCCCATTAAATAGCCTCCTCATCATTTTCCCATAGGGGCACCTTTGGAACGAACACCCATACCCTCTGTCCCACCTTGTGGGAAAAAGCATTGACCCCACTCACCCAGATTGACGAAGCTCATGACCATATCCGCATCAGTGAGAAAGTTACTGTCCTGCAAACTGGCAAGCGGAGGACCCTGGGTGCTGAAGATGGGCTTGTAAGGGTAAGAGAAACCCTGGCCCTCCTCTCCGCCGACCTCCTCTTCCACTGACATGGCATTGTAGAGATCCAGCATGAACATGGGGGCTGAGTTCTGTTTGCCATGGAGGTGGGGCCTGGGCCGGTGGGGCAAACCCAGGATGGAGAGGATTTCTCGTTGCATCTCCCGACGCTCTTGGCTGCGGAGCCTCCTGTGGATGAAGCTGGAGTGCACCTCATTATCCAGGGTGAAGTCGGCCAGGATGGAGTGCAGCAGTAGGAAGAGTGGAGTCCAGAGGACCAGGAAGCTGGGGGGTCCCGGCTTGAGCCACACCACATGCATCTCTCCTGCTTCACAGGACTCTCCAGGCAGGGAGAAAAAGAGCAACTGGGCTAGCCTGGGGATCCAAATAAATACTTGACCATTAAATACAGCTAAAGTTTGGAGGGAAGAGGGAAAGAGAGGCTGCTTTAGAGCCCTGGTCACTTGCTATACAACTTCCCCAGATAGCCACTGCAAAGCATTTCTCATGGCTAACTTTTTCAATATTGCTTTTGTTCCCCCTCAGATTGTAAAATCCTCATAAAGAAGACAGACGACAGACATGAATCTCCCCAGCGCACTGCTTTTTGCTCTCAACTCTTGGGGGGGGGATGTCCTCAGCTCTGCTCTCCTCTCTTCACTTCTCACACACACCAAGTCTCAAAGTGGTGTTTGAATGTTGCTTTGCAGACAGAGGCAGCGGGAGGTTGTATCTAGTGGGAGGAGCAGCCAGTAAAACTCAGAGCTCTCTCTCTCTCTCTCTCTCTCTCTCTCTCTCTCTCTCTCTCTCTCTCTCTCTCTCTCTCTCACTCTCACACACACACACACACACACACACACACACACACACTCACTCACTCACTCACTCGCACAGAGAAACAGACTCTAAAGTGCTTAGAGAAGAAAACCATGTTATGACCCAGAGCTCACCGGGTTTCTTTTCAAGATGTTTTGGAGGCTTCGGGCTCTAAGCAGGGTGGGCTCTTCACAAGCAGTTAAATTAACCTAAGTGGTTTAGAAGCTGGTTTCAAACTGTGCCTGGAGCCTTTCAGAACTCTGTAACAACAGTTGTAAAGAAAGGAAAGGGGGCAGAAATATGACCATGCCCCCATCACCCTCCCACCTGAGCCTACTGTCTTCCTCTAACCACCCTCCCCTTTCAAACTGCTGTCCACAGAAGGAGCTCCCATTCGCCTCCCACCACCACTAGCACCACTACTACCACCACCACCACACACACTTTCCACTCCCGCCCAAGGGAAGAAACATTCTGGGCCGGAAAGCTGCCAGCAACGACACCCTTCTGCCCCACCCACCCACCAGCTGCTGCCATTAGTGCCAGGGGAGGATCCCAGGGAAGCACTTCAAGAAGAGTAGCTGCCTTTTGTTTTTTGGGTTTTGGTTTTGTTTTTGATTTTGGGGGTTTTTTTTGCTTATAGTCTGCCCTGACCTACATAGATAGTTAGCCCAAGGTCAGGAGAGCCAGAGGATAAAGGACCTAACAAAGCAAATTAATTACCACTTCTCCTTCCTGCAAGGGCATGGGAGCTTCAAAGGTTCAACAGGTGGTCTGGGAGTTGAGGTGATTTCCCTTTGTGGTTCCCTGCCCCCCACTTCTGGAGCAGGGAGAACCCAGATGAGACTTCTTTCTAGTTAGTACTCTAGCCATGGGTAGATGCACATGTGGGAAGCAGAAGAGGGGGAAGAGCAGGTTGAAGCTGACATTTCTCTGGGCTTTCCTTTCCTGGGGAGGTAGCTCCACCCTGTAGGCCTCTCTTTGGGAAGGCCAAATATGACTACTATGACTGACCTCCAGCTGAAGCAGGGGCCTGGACAATAGGAACAATACAATACAAGATATACTGAATACCTACAGTGTATTCGATATACACTGGCCATTGGTAGCCATATGGAAGTTGAGAGAATATAGGGTCCCTGCAAAAGGAATCTAATTGGGGAGAATAAAGCATCAATACAGATAGCTAAATACATAATATTGCTTAAGTACATTAGACAGACCAAAAGCTATGTAAAGTATAAGGGAAGGAAGGTCATTGTCAATTGAGAGCAATTAATTGGCATTTAAATAAGGCTTTAAAGGTAGGGTAAAGAGTCACCTATGGCATAATTTTAAACTCTACTGCCTTTTATGTATTCACATAGTACTTTTTCTGAGTGGCCTAAAATGCTAAACATAGAGGAAAAGATCCCCGAAGCAATAGGACCCCCACACTTGTATAGACCTTGGTGCCTTTCAAAGTACTTTCACATGCATTAATTGTGTCACATGATTCTCACACCAATCCAGTGAGGTAGGAAGGGTCCCATCTAACAGAAGGAAAACTGAGAAGTTGAGTAACTTGCTCAGAGTGGCAGAACAAGAAATAAAACCCCAGCCTCCAAAAAGTGTACTTTCCACTATAAGCAAACTAGTTCTAATATGTTTGTGACCAATACACTTTGTCTCTTCCAACTGTTTCCCAGAAAAGCAGCTGGTCAACTAGCTCTTTTCTTAGGCATACCATCCTTTCTAATGCAAGCTTCAGAGTCAATGAACTCATGGTTATTATCTAAGACCTTTGTATAGATAAGGTCCCCTTCCTAAACACCACAACCCTCAATTTGACTTATCTCTCAGGTCCATCAGGACTCAGGTGGTAGTTGTCTTCTGTGCATCATTCTCCAAACATTTCATAGCAATTACAGTAGGCCCTCAATAAATGCTTTTTGGATGAATGATTATGGTTGCATTGCTTAAGGTAGCAAATCTAATAATAGCTCGTGTTTATGTAGCACTAGAGTTTTCCTCACAATAACTCTAAGGTATTATGGGTACTATTGTCCTCAGTTTACAAATGAGGAAATTGAGGCTCAGAGAAGTTAAGTGACTTGCCCAAGGTCACAAAACCAGTGACTGTCAGAGATGGACTGGAATCCAGGTCCCTTGACTCCCAATTCAATAGAAAGGAATAGGCTGACAAGACTGAGCTGAGTGCAGTGAATCATAGAATGTCAGAGTTTGAAGAGCTTAAAAGAGTCCCAGGAGTTCCTACAAGTGCAGAGCATCTGGGTGAAAAGAAAACAAACATGTGCTAAAATGTACTTCAAAAGATCTGTGATTTCATCTTTGTGGGTAATCCCTCCTCTGATACAGAGCACAAACTCTCCGTTCTTAAAATGAAGCTAGGCCCTAATCGGTGTGAATAACAAATGAATCCTATTGAAATAAATGTATTTAAATTTGAATTCATAGTTAATAATTAAGTAAAATATGGTAATGGATTCCAGCCCAATGGAAACATGCAATGTGAGTTCAAATAATGACACACTTCCCTAGATTCATTATTTACACTAATAGGGACCTCAATGCAGATTAAATTACTATGGTAGGGATCAAGGGGAGAAAATCATCATCTAATGACCATATTTCTGCTAATGAGCTTCTCTGTACTTAGATCCTTCAAACACAGTCTGCTACCAGAAGACTTTACAACTTGGAAGGATCATAGAGTTATAGAAATTAGAATTGGAAGGGGGCGTCATATAATCTAGCTCCCTTACTTTACAGATAAGGAAACTGAGGTCCTAAAAAGTGAACTGAGTATCAATTCAACAAACATGAATTGATTATCTACTTAAATGTGTACAGTTTAATATATATACATGTTACACAGACTCTGTTCTCAAGGAGCTTCCAATATAACTGGGTAGGGAGGGGGAAGGAGACAAGTATGCAAAAAAGGATAACAGGAGAAAATGAGATGAGTATAAAGAAGAGAACCCAGAAAAGTTCTATGAGACATTTGAGGAGGGAGAGGTCACTTTACTTGGGGAAAGGAGTAGTAAAAGAAGGCTGCACAGAGGAGGCAGCATCTGAGTTGGGTCTTGAAAGAGGGGACCAACCGCAGAGCTGGAAGTCACCTCTATGCAGGGAAGAGGCAGGTCTTAAACACTAGAAGGATCAGGCATGTCAATAGATGCAAAAAGAAAAAAAAAGTGCCTGGTCCTTCAGCGTATTCTTAAATTATTGTCGATGTAGTTTGGTAAACTCCTTTAAAGAAAAAGAATCGTTGATTTCTCTAACTCCTTCTTTTTATGCCATGCCAAAGAATAATTTATTAGTAACTGACTGCAGTAAACCATAACACATTTCTAGAGAAACATTTCCTTCACAAAAATTAAAAAACCAAACAAACCTTGGGATGCAAGGCTTCTGAGAGGAGGCAAATTTGAGGTACGTAGAGGTTAATTTACTGGCCCAAGGTCACAGAGCTTAAATGTTAGAAATAAACCCAAACTCAGGTCTTCTGACTCCCAAACCAGTGCTCTTTTCACTACATGAAACTTACTGCCTTTCTCATGAAAAGAAAAAAAAATCTTCAGGGCATGAGGCTGGGGAACATTTTCTTAGAGTCCATTTCAGTCTCTCCTCTGTACTCCACACTTCCACCAACCCCCATTCTAGGCAGCAACCCCAGTCACTTTCCTGGGGCCTATTCAGTTTCCCCTCAAGCTTTCTCTCTTGGTGGCTACTTATGGAACCTGGATGGTGAAAGCACCCTATGCTTCATCCCCAAGGGGTGCAATCTGATATGCATATTAGTCTACTCTGCACCTGGGGGTTAGGTTCTCCTGGATGAAAGACAGATTGTAATGTAAGGTACTGTTAGGTTGTGTCTCCTCAGTCCCCCACAAAGCAGAGAGGCTTCACAGCCCTCTTGCTGTTCTCCAAGTGCTGGACAAGGATTTTTCATTTCATACATCATCTGTCACAGCTTACTGGAGGGATCTTGACTAAGTCAGCATATGTCTCTAAGGCAATAAAAAGAAGAAAAGAATGCTGCTGATGTGTGCATTACTCAGGCTAGGTATGGGGCTTCATTTTCATCTGTAATGATAGAAAATCATATAGAAGTAGAAATGGAGTGTTCATCCTCGGCACAGGAAAGGCTGTCTCCAAAGTGAGAGGCACTTCCTACGGATCACTTAGCCTGCGTGTACCTCAGTATCCCCACATGTAAAACAGGGGATGAGGCTCTGCATTTGTGTGGGACCTGGAGACCTGTGAATGAAAGAAGATCTGCTCTGGAAAGTCAAATTATTTTAGCATATATGAAATTCAATATTATTTTCCATGGAAATCTTTCCTTTCATTGAAGTACAACCTACATGAGCTACTTCACCCTGGTGTTTTCTTAGCCCAAAACCAATTGTTTCTTTGTTGTGTTTTTTTTTTTAATACTAGGGGTGGAAGTTGGGGGGGTTGAGTATAAATGTTTTTTTGTCAGGTTAACGCACACGTGGAACAGACCACAATTCCAAATGGAAATAAAACACACACATTTTTCCAAAGAAATTCGATGACAAAGCCACAATTTCAAGTTCTGGCCTCACAAATGCAGCCCGGGGCCACTGTGTTGTTTGTTATCATCATCACCATTTTCCTTGTGTGTTATTTACATTAACTTTTGATTGGGGTTTTGAGCATTTCACGTCATTAGCTGCATGTATGGAGCAATCGAAAGTGAAGTATGCTATTGAGGCACTGACCACCTCTCTGCCTTGTATGATAATTATATGTGTTCTCTATCTTATCCAGAGGCAGCTGGGGTGGTGCAGGAGATAGTGCTGCACCTGGATTCAGGAAGACCAGAGTTCAAATCCAGCCTCAGACACCTCCTGGCTGTATGAACCT